TGTTTTTTACGCTAAAATAATGAATCCTCTGAAGGCTAACGATTAATTCATTGTTGCTCTTGGTTTTGTAGGTTTTGTTTGCTTGTTTTTACTTTTTATTATGGAAATTTTCAAACATACTCACAAGTGAAGAGAACAGGGTGCTGATTCCTCACACCCCTCCTGGGTGGTTTCAGCAGAGATGACATTTTACCGCTCATCTATTTCTCTCTCCACTCTTTTCTTTCTGGAGAACTGAGGACTTAAAAACATAAATTATTGTGTTGTTTTGTCTGATTATGAGGTAATATGTGTTCCTTATAAAGAGATCGTCCTTCACTAAAAAATAATATAAAACATCATGAATAGGCTGGGCGCAGTGCTCACGCCTGTAGTCCCAGCACTTGGGAGGTTGAGGAGGGCAGACTGCCTGAGCTCACAGGTTCGAGACCAGCCTGAGCAAGACCAAGACCCTGTCTCTAAAAAAATAGCCAGGTGTTGTGGCGGATAATTGTAGTCCCAGCTACTTGGGAGGCTGAGGCAAGGAATCGCTTAAGCATAAGAGTTTGAGGTTGCTGTGAGCTGTGATGCCCCGGGACTCTACCCAGAGCAACAAAGTGAGACTGTCTAAAAAAAAAAAAATCACAGATAATCTTTCTTCTCAGTCATGACAAATTCTAAAATATATTCTCCTAGACACTTTTGTATTCATATATATTTATGTACACATACTTTTACAAAAATTGCACACTATACCAGAATGGGGTTATACTCCATATTTTGCAATCTGTCTTTTCACTCAGCGATATATCCCAAATGTCTTTCCATGTCACTGACTATTCTAATCACGGTTTAGAACCTCATTATTTGGGTGAACCATGGTTTATTCAACAAATCCCCTGTTGTTGGGCACTCAGGTTGTTTCTATGACGAGAGTTTCCAAAGACAGTCCTGCTTACCCTGGACTTTGCACCAGGCTGAAACCCAGTCCGCCTCCACTCAACCCTATGCAGGTTTAGAGAAGTATGGAGTTTGGGAGGAGCACAGGGAAGGTACAGGAGCCACACGGCTCACCCCACCTCCGACTGGAGGCTTCCTTTGCCCTCACTGTCTTGGTTGAAAAGAAGGCTCAAAACATGAGACACACCCAGACCCAAATGTGGATAAAAACAAAAAAACATTCCAAAAGCAGATCACATATTGTTTGGGTGATGAGGTGTAACTCTCAAAAGTTTCTTTTTAAACAAACATACCAGAGCTCACCCAACCCACAAACTCCCTCCTTCAAAGTAGTCAGTCCAGAAGGCAATACACGTTTTGCGATGAAATTGAAATTGCTTTAAAATAAATCTGTGAATTCCTCTTTTAAAGCTGTCTCAGAATCTGGTATGAATAACATTTGCGTGTACTCTAGGCTGGGAAAGTCTTCATGCATCACCGGGGACTGATATCTGGAAATAGCCTCTGCCCACCAAATAAATTGCAAACAACTGTGTCTAGTTTGAGCAGAAACAGATGCATTAAATATTAACAGGATCTCAGCGTCTCTGGCAGGACCAGAGAACCAGGTGGGGATACCATTTTTGTATCTCTTTTCTATAAGATGCCTGTTCACATTTTTTGCCCATTTTTCTATCAGGTTTGTGGGGCTTTATTTAACTCAAATTTTTAGAATTCCTCAACTATTAGGGATATTAGCCTTTTACCTGGGATTTATTCTGAAAACATTCTCTCCCAGGTAATCAATTGCCTTCTGATATTGTTCATGGTGTTTTTACAATGAAAAAGTTTCTTTTGTCTTTATGTTGTTAAATTTATTTTTAGAGAAGGGGTCTGACTCTGTCTGTCACCCAGGCTGGTTTGAACGCCTGGCTTCAAGTGCCCCTCCCACCTGGGCCTGAGCCACTGTGCCCAGTCTGTTAAATTTATTGATCTTGTCATTGCATCTGAATTCTGAGTCAGAAAGTTAGAATATCTTTCCCTACACACAGGTTGTAAAGAAATTAACCCATAATTTCTCCTACTATTTGTATGATTTCATTTTTTTTACATTTAGATTCCTGGTCCATTTGGCGTTTACTCCTATATGTAGTACGAAGTATTTGCTTTTGAAATGCATTTTAATTAACTGTGTTAATTAGACCAAAGATTGTCAATTAAAATGCATGAGAGAGCCAGACGCCAGTGACACTGGATGGTGTGATAAAGTAGGGGGGGTGAGGCCTGCGGTCATCAGAGGTTAAAACTTTTTAAATTAGGTTGGGCAAGGTGGCTCACGCCTATAATCCCAGCACTCCGGGAGGCCAAGGCGGGTAGATCACCTGAATTCAGGGGTTCAAGACCAGCTTGAGCCAAAGCGAGACCCCCATCTATGAAAATAACCAGGCATTGTGGCAGGCGCCTGTAGTCCCAGCTACTTTGGTGGCCAAGGCAAGGGAATCACTTGAGCCTGAGAGTTTGAGGTTGCTGTGAGCTATGAGGCCACAGCACTCTGTGGAGGGCAACAAAGTAAGACTCTGTCTCAAAAAACAGACAAACAAAAAAACTTTTAATTAAAAAAAGAAAGAAACACAGTTTCCTAAAGGTCCTGTAGACAAATGGTCACAAACTGGGTGGCTTAGGACAACAAATTTATTCTCCTACAGTTCTGGAATCAGAGGCTGGAAGTCAGGGTGTCAGCAGGCCCGTTCCTTCTGAGGTGCTGGGCCTCCCCCAGCAGCTGGCAGGTGCCTCTCAGCTTGCCAGACCCCTCGCTCCGATCTCTGCCTCCGTGTTCACACATCTCCCTGTATGTCTGTGTCCAAATTCCCCTCAGCCCCAGCTCACAGTTTGCAGCTAAGTTTGTGGTCGTGCGTTTCAGGTAAACTAATCCACCCACCCAGAGGAAACATCACTCCCTTACAGTTTTCCTCCCCAGTTCCCTGGACAATGCAAGGATGCTCACAGGGCTCTGAAACCTGCCCTCGCAGGAAAACATAGACTCTCCCTTCAGGGCTGGGATGCCTGTGGCTGCAGGGAGATCCAGTTCACTTCAAGTCCAGCTCAGGCCACTCTCCGTGCACCGTAAGCTCTGTGGTTTGTAAAACTCAGCAGCCTCATGCAGGAGCCTTGGCTCCGCCTCCATTATATAGGTGCAAGCCTGGCAATCAGGATCTTGGTGCCGCCCACGCCTGGGTGCCTGCAGCGCATGGTACTCCATGGTCATGGTGTTGTGACCTGCACCTCTTTCCCAGGTGAGAGCACTGAGGCTCAGAGAATCGGGCCACACAGAGAGGAAAGGTTTCCAGAGCCCTGGCCCATCCCAGCTCTCTCACTATTAGCAGCTGCCACTATTGATAACCTGGCCGAGGCGGGGGCCCAACAGAATGTCCCCACAGTTTTCTCAGGGCAGGGCAGGGCAGGGCAGAGGCCTCTCTCATGCTGGTGATGATAAAACACCAGTGCCGGCTCGGCGCCTGTGGCTCAAGCGGCTAAGGCGCCAGCCACATACACCTAAGGTGGCGGGTTCAAATTCCCAGCCCAGGCCCGCCAAACAACAATGATGGCTGCAACCAAAAAATGGCCAGGCGCTGTGGCGGGCGCCTATAGTCCCAGCTACTTGGGAGGCTGAGGCAGGAGACTCGCTTGAGCCCAGGAGCTGGAGGTTGCTGTGAGCGTGATGCCATGGCACTCTACCCAGGGGGATAGCTTGAGGCTCCGTCTCAAAAAAAAAAAAAAAAAAAAAACACCAGTGCCAAGTGAGGGTGAGGATGGTGCCTGGGTCTGCAGGTACCCTGGTCGTGGGCCAGCTGTGGCAGGAAGGCCTCCTAAAGTCTCCCCCGGGTCACACTTCCCCAGAGATATGACAGAGTGATGAAGATTCAATACCCTCCTCTCCTCCTCCCAGTGTGCTCCTCACCCTGGAGAAACAGCCTCAGGGGGAGGGGGGAGGAAGGAAGAAAGGATGTCACAGCCTCAGGGTGCTGCTCAATCTGGCAGACTTGGCCTGTAGACACCAGGACCCAAGTGAGTCCATGTGATGACCTGGAGCCACAATGCACCTTCCCAGCTGTGAAATGGAGGGTGACGGAGCACCTGCATGATCCAAGGTGGCCCTAGAGGAGTCACACAGCACAGGAGAACTAGCTCTGTCAAAATACCTTGGTCACGTCCAGCCTACTTTCTTCCCTCTTCTTTGCAGCTATGTGTGGCCACTGACGTGATGTTGGCAATTGAGACTTAAGCAGAATTCTATTAGAAAGTTTCTCAGGGGAAGAAAAGAAGCATTTGTTTTTCTGCATCTGCTGGTTTCATTCCTTCCTCCCCTTTCCCTCCGTGGAATGCTGGACGTGATGATTGGAGCTATGGCAGCCATATTGCTACCATAAGAAAAGGCCATGGAATCACAGATGCTGTCCCGGATATATAACTAAGCATTGTTGCTGGAGCAGAGTCAACAACTGCCCATCTCTGGATTTCTTGTCATACAAGAAAAATAAACCTTCACATGTTTATGTCAGTGTTAATTTCAGCCAAAGAAAGACATTTCTCGCTAAAATCCAGAGAAGCGCTGAACCAGAACCTCCACGCTAAGTGGACTGTGGATAAATGAGAAAGTACAGACTGCACTTCAGTTCAAGTTGCATCAGTCCCTTATTCAACAAGTATACATGATGACCTGACACATGAGCAGGGCACGGGGGAGCAAAGAGATCCAGCCTCCACACGCTGAGAGCTTCCAGTTAGCTGGCCACATGGATAAAGTCAGAACACACTGCTTGAAAATGTTCTCACACCTGCAACATAAAAGAACTGGGGACTAGGCACAGTGGCTCACACCTGTAATCCCAGCACTCCAGGAGGCCAAGGCAGGTGGATTGCCTGAGCTCAGGGGTTCAAAACCAGCCTGAGCCAGAGCAAGAACTCACCCCTAAAAATAGCTGGTCATTGTGGCAGGTGCCTGTAGTCCCAGCTACTGAGGAGGCTGAGGCAGGAGGATTGCTTGAGCCAGAGAGTCTGAGGTTGCTGTGAGCTATGATGCCCCAGCACTCTATTGAGGACGTCAAAATGAAACTGTCTAAAAAAAAAAAAATTAGCCAAATGTATAATCGATCAAAAATCTGAAGACTGACTGATGAATGAGTTTAAAAAAAATACACAGATATTGTGAGTCAAATCAATTATTTTCTGCACCAGAAACCAGCTCCCAACTATGAGTTATTAAGTGGATTACCTGAGTGACCCTGGCCATTTCCTCAACCTCTTTGAACTTGACTTTCTTCCTGTGCTAATTAGGGAGTTAATCCAGATGACTGCTGCAGTCTCCTCCAGCTAAAGTCTTCCCCTTCTGGGATGCATGCCAGGGTACAAGAAAAATTAATATTTTGGGAAAATTCCACTTTACAAGCGTTTGGGTAAAACCATAGTTATACATGACAAGTCATAATTGATAGATGAGATATCCCACTATTTGGAGAAATTAACCTAGTATCATAATCTTTACAGAAGAAAATATTTCTGTTTGGGAGAAGTATTGCAAAACCTTATGTATGAAGTCAGAATGAACACTGGCGAGTGTTTAATAAGCGCTGATGGCTGACACACAGCCCTCTGGAGCTGGAGATCCAAAGTCACAGAACATATCAGGCCTGGCCCCTGCTCCTGAGGAGCTGAGGCTTTAATTAAGCTGCTGGCCTTCTCCGAGAGCACCCCAGCCAGCTTCAACATGTCCCCTGCAGGTGTCCTAAGGCAAAGCCATTCCTATAAAAGAGAAAGTAAGTAGGAATACCTAGACTCCAATGCAGGCAGAGACTCAGGTATGACCTGTGGACCCATGGTTTAAAAAAAAGTCAGCCCCCAAGGGCTGGGCACAGTAGCTCACACCTGTAATCCCATCACTCTGGGAGAACGAGGCAGGTGGATTGCTTGAGCTCAAGAGTTTGAGACCAGCTGAGCAAGAGCAAGACCCTGTCTCTACTAAAAATAGAAAAAGGAGCCAGGCATTGGGGTGGGCGCCTGTTGTCCCACTCCTAGGGAGGCTGAGACAGGAGCATTGCTTGAGTCCAGGAGTCTGAGTTTGCTGTGAGCTATGATGATGCCACTGCACTATACCCAGGGCAACAGTCAGACTGTTTCAAAAAAAAAAAAAAAAAAAGCCATTTCCCCAAGAACATCCCACAGTCTTATGCTGCAGACAGATACATGTAACACACACACACACACACACACACACTGATTGGAGTTGCTTTCACCAGCATTGCAGCAAAGCCCTCCACGTGCTCAGAAACCCTAATCATCCAGGGACAAGGACACAGGTCTCAACCCAGTAGACATGGATCTGTCTCTCTTGGCTGTCTACACTGGGCAGATGGCTTCTCGGAGCCTTGGTTTCTTCACCCCTAAAACAATCTACTCCCAGGATGGCTACGAGGCCCAACACTATGTGAAGCCCCAGCTTCTAGCAGTCTCCATGCCTGCTTTCCAGCCCCCAGACTCACCCACACGACTTGAGGCCAGCTGCATAGCAACCCACCTTGTCCTCAGAGGGGCCTGGCTGACCCAGCTTTGATCTGCAGCCACTCTGGAGGGGACAGAGCCCCGGACCCAAGGGTCAGGAGACTTTGGCCTTGGTCCTCTCTCTGCCAGCGTCTGTTTGCCTAAGGCCTAACTTCCTCCTGGCCAGGTGAGGATAATGATCTATTGATTTCAAAGCATGTCACAAGGGTTAAATGAGGCGTGAAAGTGCTTTGTCCCCTGGCATTTCTGCCCTTCCTGCTTTTGGTGCCAAAAACCTGAACCTGGCTAGGCCGAGCAAGAGGCACAGAGAGGCTGCTGTCCCGAGTCCTTGCTGTCCCACACAACAGCCCTCTGCCCCGGCAGTGGGGCTCAGGCTGCACTGCACAGAGGCCACACAGTACAGTGAGCGGCTGTGATGGCGTGTTGGCATAACTGTTTCCTGGTGGGCTCGCTCAGGCCACAATCAGGTGGGAGCATTTGTGTCATAAACACACACAGATCACACGCACAGCAAATACATACAGATCCATACACATCACACAGAGAGATTACCAACACATGTGCACACCATGCACACATACCCACGACACCCGTGTACACCACACACACCACACTCCACCTGGAGAATGGCTGCTCCCTCCCTCGTGGACGTCTGTCCTTCCCTCCCCTGCCTACACGGTCACTCTCTCTGCCTCGGATCTTCTTACTTCCCTCTTTCAGGGACCCTGTGTCTGCAAAATCCCTTTTACTCACAATGTCACATCCACAGCTTCTGGGGGATTAGGATGTGGACACCTTTTGAGGGCTGTTGTTCCATCAACCACAGTTGGCATAAAGCAAGGCTGTGGTGAAGGCGATTAGGTTGCTCTCAGGGTCCAACATGTTCCCCGTGCCAGGGCAGCAGCGAGCTGACCTCCTGAGGACCAGGAGGAGGATAGAAGAGGGCTCGGGCTTTATGGATATTAACACTGGCTCTCTGTATCCAGGAAAGTGTAGCCAGAAAAATAGAAACATACCAGTTATTTTAGCAGAGAGAATTTAATAGAGGTACTGGTTGGGGGACGGAGGGCATAAAGAGGGTCCACGGTAACATGGGGGGCAGCTATCACCCTCAGATGGCCATGCTCACCTGTCACCCAGGGCAGCCTGCAGGAAGAGTGTGAGTTTCCCGGCCAAGCCCTGCGGCCAGTTTGAGAGCTCTTATCCCTCACGCACTGGCTCAGTAAAATGTGTCTGCAGGCTGCAGAGCCTGCTCATCTGGTCCTAACTAAACTAACCACACGTGCGCCTTAAACGAGTCCCGCGAAGAAACTGGGATGAAGAAAACAGCAATAAGCCAAGTGAAGAGCAAAAAAACAGCAGAACCAGCCGTTTCATTCCTGGCCCAAGTGCTCCAGCAGACACATCCCAAGACGAAGACAAAGACAGCCATCCAGTCAGAACTGCAAAAAGGAAAAACGAATCCCAAATGCTCATAAAGTCTACTTGAAATGCAGACCAGACAATCCGGCATTGTTAACGATAATCCTCACCCCAAATGCATATTTTGCTTCGAGATACTATGGAAACAACCATCACAATTCGAAAGACATCACAAAGAATGTTATCTGTGAGAACAGTGACACCTCTGTATAGTTCATAAATTTCTTTTTTTTGTTGTTTTTTTGAGACAGAATTCTACTTTCTTGTTCCAGGTAGAGTGCCCTGGCATCACAGCTCACGGCAATCTCAAACTCTTGGCCTCAAGTAATTCTTTTGCCTCAGCCTCCCGAGTAGCTGGGACTACAGGCGCCCTCCACAATGCCCAGCCATTTATTAGAAATGGGATCTCACTCTTGCTCAGAGCTGGTTTCGAACCCATGACCTCCAGCAATCCCCCCACCTTAGCCTCCCAGAGTGCTGGGATTACAGGCATGAGCCACCACTCGGGCCCTTACACTTTACAAATTTCAAAGTGTACACACAGTGCATTACGGGTACATCCTGGGACTGTTTTTGCCTGTTATGATTTATGATCAGAAAACTTCAGAGACTGCTACCCTGAAGAATTCATGTCTAGTGGTTGTGAAAAACCCCAAATCAAATGACGACTCTGTGTGTTTTGTGTAATTCAGAAAGTACACAATGGGTGGGCACAATGGCTCACAGCTGTGAGCTGTGACACCATGGCACTCTACTGAGGGTGGCAGAGTGAGACTCTGTCAAAAGAAGAAAGAAGGGAGGGAGAAAGGGAAGGAAGGAAGGGAGGGAGGGAGGGTGGGAAGAAGGAGACAGAGGGAGGGTAGGTGAGGGAGGGAGGGAGGGTAGAGGACTGCTCACAGCCTAGGAAATTCTGACAGTGTCCAAGGGTAGGGAAAGGCTGTAGGTAGAGAAGGCACTGAACAGAGTTTTGCTCCTTTTTTTCACAGATGTATGACAACTGGAGAAGGAATCTCTGTTATGTTTTCCTCCTTCTCAGCAGGTGTGAGGCATAACAGGGGGATGAGGGCTTTGTAGGGGTGCTGCTAGAGCTTCCAATAGCCAGAAATGTTAGGGGGCAGCTCTGGCTCCCCCAACCCACACATTCCAGGATAAGCATACAACAGAGCTGCAGAGAAAACTTCCATCCCCTCTAGGCTGGAGGAGGTGGCAGAGAAGCATCTCCTGCACCCCGCCCGGGACAGCGGGGCTTGCCACAGAGAGTGCCAGTGAATGTGTTTAGGGTTGATGTGAGTGGTTAACAACCCTGTGGATTTATGTACAGCATTTTACGTACACGTAAATTCTTGTGATATTTCTTTTAATTTTTAAAGCGGAGAATTTGTAATTTTCACCAGATTCCCAGAGAAGTCTCGCACCTCAGAGCTTAAAAAGCATAAGAAAAGTCTAACCCTGTGTTCAGACTGGATTCTAGTCCTCTGAGCCTCGGCTTTCCTCATCTGTACAGTGGGTGCCCAGTACCTGGCACCAGCGACCCTGGGAGCACCAGCTTCTTCCTTCTCCCAGGGCCGTGCCAGCCTCCCTCAGCTCGTGGCTACCAGCTTCCTCAGCAGCCTCTTTTTATTTATTTGGAATGGTTTCTTGGGGTCTCCTAGAGAAAAAAACTCTCAGCTGAATTCCAGAAAATGAACACACTCTCCCTGTGCTTGGAGGGCTCTCAGCTGTTCCCTTGGCTGCCCAACTTAGAAAAATGATGTTAGGAATGTTTATCTCTTAAGAAGCTGGAGAACTCCTTTCAGCAAAACCAGAACTAACCACAAAGGGGGTGCAGGGGCCTGGCCTAAGCATCCCAGCATGGTGCTGTGGGAAGATCCACATCCTTTAGTCCTGCCTGTGCCTCTACCACCCCCAAGAGAGGTTCAGAGCTGTTAGCTGGGCTGGAGTACCAGGGACTCACTGGCAATCTCAGCCCTGTCATCATTTCATGTCCCCAAACATGTTGGTTCTTCAAGACCCAAGAGACTTAGACGTCCTGAGTTCCAGCTCTGACCCTTTCTTTTGGCAGCACCATGAAGCAAACTCTCTGTGGTCAAGTGTCCCTCCCTGACTGGCAAAGAGGTGACCTTTTACTCAGTGGTCTCTTGCACCCTCGAGTTAAATTTTTCTGTGGCCTTAAAGATACAGCCCTCTTTGTGACATTTATGTCTGTAATAAAACTGTTTAGGGCCTCCACTGTAGATTCTGAATCCAGGATTTGAGTTCCCACTCCTCTGCTTAATAGCCACGTGGCCTTGGGAAAGTTACTCAGTCTTCCTGAGTCTCCATTTTCCAACCTGTAAAATACCAGAAATGGGCATTTCTGCCCCCAAAGAGTTATTGTGAGTTATTGTCTTGACTGGGATCACCCTTACAAGGGCTCAGCAGAGGTTAAGTGCCAGTATGCAGAAAGGAGACACTAAGTGGGAGCTGTTGTTATTTTAGTTGTCTGGACACAGTGGTGCCGCCTGCAGTCCCAGCTACTCGGGAGGCTGAGGCAGGAGGACTGCTTGAGCCCAGGAGTTTGAGGCTGCAGTGAGCTGTGATGATGTCTCTGCGCTCCAGCCTGAGCAATTGGGCAAGACCCTCTCTCTAAAAAATAAAATTAAAGTTTAAAAAAATGTGGAAGAGAAAAATGCAAAGAAAACCAAAAGTACTCATAACTCTGCGACCTGGAGGTAGGCCTGCTAGCCTTCTATTAAGTGTCCCTGTGCGTGCATGTGTGTGTGTATTTCCTAGGATCTAGTCGCTGTTGAATGAGCAGAGTTTGCATACGGGTATACAGGTTAGCCTGCCTCCCCCTCTCCCTTCCAGCCTCCCTCCCTCCCTCCCTTCCTTCCATCCTTCCTCCTTCCTTCCCTCCCTCCCCGCCTTCCTGTCAGGCACACGTTAAGTTTTTCTCTATACCAGGCATGATATTTCTTAACCTACTTTTTTTAAGCTCAAAAATATATGGAGAACATTTTTCTCCAAATCATTACATTTGGCCATATTGCATATTTTTTCACATTTTAATGTCTCTGAAGTAAAGATGTGTTTTAGAATCAATGTCAAAAGAAACATGCCAGCTATTTCTTCTCTTCTCTCCCCTAAAATGGGGGTTGGGAATCGGCATTACAAGTAACAAACCACGGCGTCTCAGACTCACAGAAACTCGGCACCCAGGACCATGCCTCCCACGGACCCCACAGGATCACGCTTTGGTGCCGCTGTCATGATTTACCTAATCGAAGTCTATTTGGGGACATTTCAGCCCCTCTCATTTTTTCACTGTTACCAGTTAGGCAGTGAGAGAAAGAGTCTGGCAGGAAATGCTATCGCACAGGGCACTGGACCCCCTGACGGCTGCCAGACGGGGAGACAGAGGGACCCGAGACTTTGGGGGAAGGTCACAGCCAGCCTGTGGTGACCTTTAGGAGGAAGATGTGGGGTGGCCTATGTCTTCCTCTCCTCTCTCCCTCCAGCCCGAGCCGGACCCACTGGGAAGTAGGTTGGGAAGAGAGGGACACCGTTCTTAGGTCAGCACCAGGCAGGGTCAGAGAGGCCCTGGGTGGGCGAAAGCGGCGCCCAGTGCACCAGCCCCGTGGGCCTGAGAA